CTCTTTCCTCCACCCTTACCTGCCGATCACAGATGTCTATTTTGTTCCCCAGCACGACCATGGGGAAAGCCTGCTCCCTTGGAATGACCTTCTCCAGAAAGTCATCTCTCCAGTTGTCCAGGGCCTCGAAGGTCTCCCTGTCTGTCACATCAAAGGCCAAAATGCAACCGTCAGAGCCTTTGTAGAAGGTCGACACCATGGACCGGAATCTCTCCTGGCCCCCTGTGTCCCAGATCTAGAGCAGAGAAGGGCACAGGCACAGACACATGACATGAGCATGGCGAGTATTTACAGCCCTGTACTCTGTCAAGCCCAAGGGAACTGCTTCAGGGGGTGCTGAGCCCCCAGAACTCCTGGGGAACTCCAAAGTAGTTCACAGATGCTGAAAATCAGACTCTGCATATCCAGCCCTGCACCTCATGACACTGGTAGGGACCAGCAGGACAGCAACAGGGGATGACAGGACAAGGTGGGACACACATCAGGGTAGGCACTCTGGGCACTCACCTGCAGCTTCAGGGGGGTGTTGTCCACAGCCAGGACCTTGGTGAGGATGCTGGCGCCCAGCGTGGTGCGGTAATCCTCGTAGAACGTCTTGTGCACGTACTGGTGCAGGAGGGAGGTCTTGCCCACGCTGGAGGGAGGGAAGGGACACACACATGAGTCTTTTCCCTGCTCAGGTGGTCACTCCCAGCATAGGCTGCACACCCCAGGGATTCCCTCCCTGCCTCTGCTGCTCCTTACCCCAGAGCTCCGATGATGATTATCTTCAGATCCACCTTCTTGCTGGCATCCATGGACAGGCCCTGTGGGACAAAAGGCTGTGGGGATGGCACTGGCTCCTGGAGAGCCCTGTGGCACTGGCAGAGGTGTGGGAGCAGCTGCTGCTCCCTGTGACCTCTCCCTGCTCCCAGCCCAGCTGTCCCAGGACCACGGGTGTTGTTGTGTCCACACCTTGCCAGCTCTGTGCCCACACCTTGCCAGCTCTGTGCATGTCCATGCTGTGCCAGCACCATGTCCATGCTGTGCCAGCACCTTTCTGTGCCTGTGTCCCAGCCACGGTGGAGGCAGAACCCCCAGGATGAGCCCAGCCCAGGTCACCACCAGCTCCTGCAGTGCTGCTGCACGTCCAGACAGGCTGGTTCATCTCCATTCAAACCTGCTGGGAGCAGCTTCCCTGCCTCTCCCTCTCCAGCACAGTCCCTCCTCCTAACCCTGGCACACACACTTGGCACACACACGGGGGTCCTTTATAAAAGCAGATCCCAACTGGGTGGGATTCCTTGTGTGCCCCAAGCACAGTGCAGGGAACATCTCATCCCAAGGAGTATACTCTCTGCAGGCTGCATCCCAACATTTCCTGCTGTCCCCACACGTTTTGTGCCTGGAGACCTCCAGCAAACCCCCTCCCCAGGCAGGAGGAGCATCCCCCGAGGTCGCAGCAGCTTTGTCTGCATGGCAACATCCAGCACAGCACTGGCCAAGGCACAGATGGAAACACTGGCAGCCTCATCCCTGCAT